TGTTTAGTCTACGCATCCCTAGCTGTGCTATGCATTTAATTTTGTTAAACAGTATAATTAAGGGTAGTATAATTAAGGGTAGTTGTTAAGTGGTTTTTAATAGATTTTTAAAAAGTTAAAAACAATTAAATAATACACAAAACACTTATGAATCCTAATAAAAAATTATAATTTAAGAGATTTAGAACTCCAAAATATAGAGTTCTAATTGACACAATACAATTTATAATAAAAAATTACTAAGCACCCAACTTAACAACTAATGAGATTATCATTTCTTCCGAGAAAAGGGGATCCAAGTGCTATATTCTGCCAAAGAGGTGTGAGAGAGGGCCTACAAGTCTAATCTTTCACATGATTAAAATCATGAATGCTCATAATGGGTTGGTTGATCACATATTCTTTTTTAATTAATCCAAGTTGATCATTTAATAAGGTCATTAGGTGTAAGGAATTAATTAACTAAGCCTATTGTTTCCATTCTTAAAAACCACATATTTATGAATATTGTAAGCGAATAGAAGTACTATGGCCCTTAAATTTCTAAAAACAACAGCAAGAAAGACGTTTACACTTGGCAACTAAACTGAATAAATTTTATGCATATTTTTTGTCGATAATATATATAAACCAAACATAAAAAATTGGGTCGCAAACATAGGTTTGACCTGCTTACCCTCAGGGCCGGGCTGATAAAAATAGATGTTAAGATCCTGCTTCTCACATTTTTCTCCAATACATTTTTAAGAAGAATGTTTACACTTTTGTTTTGCTTATAGTCCTAAAATTCTCAGTGTCGGTCCTGATTTTCACATACCCATTTCCCATGGTTGAGAATGTATGATACATGCGATTATATTAATGTTTGAAATTTCTGACGTGCGGTCGATCAATACAATTATTATGAAAGATGAGAGAACATGGAAGACCACGATCATGTTTAGTCTTTTCTTAAGGCTCAATGAAATTTGTTTTTTCCGACAAAAATGGATCCAAGTGACTATCTGACTAGTCGTTTACCGGCCAGACTCTTAAAATGA